GTGCACTGGGAAGACCCAGAGGGATCGGGTGGAGAGGGAGGTGGGAGGGGGGACTGGGATGGGGAATACATGTAAATCCATGGCTAATTCATTTCAATGTATGACAAAAACTACTGTAATGATGTAAAGTAATTAGCCTCCAACTAATAAAAATAAATGAAAAAAAAAAAAGAAAAGAAAAAAAAAAAAGAATCCACCTTGCAATGCAGGGGATTCGTGTTCAATGCCTGGTCAGGGAGCTAAGCTTCCACATGCCACAGAGCATCTAAGCCCAACCACTGCAATTACTGAGCCTGTCAGTCACAACTGGAGTCTATGTGCTGCAGTGAAAGGCCCTGCACGACACAACAAACGGCCCACATGCCACAACTAAGACCTGACACAGCTTAAAAAAAACAAAGACCATATACCTTAATCAGGCCACAAAGCGATATCTACAAACTTTAAATAAAGAATCTGTACCATACAGACCCCATTCTCTGACCATAATGTAATTGATCAAAATCATTAATAAAAAGATAATCTAAAAACACGTTAGGAAAATTTTAAACACTTTTGTAAATAACTCAGGAGTCAAAGAAGGAATGATAATAGAAAGCTCTGATATTAGAAATTAATGGTTATGAAATATCTTGGGTAGGTAAAACAGCACTCTGAGGGAAGTACTTTTTGTGTGTGTGTGGTTGCACAGTGTGGCTTATGAGATCTCAGTTCCCTGACCAGGGATTGAACCTGTGCCCCCCTGCAGTGGAAGCATGAAGTCCTAGCCACTGGACCACCAGGGAAATCCCCATATAAACTTATTTTTTAATACAAGGCTGAAAATAAATAAACATCCATTTTAAGATTTTAGAAAAAGAACAGAATAAACTTCAAAAGAAGGAAGGAAATAATAAAGGTAAGAGTAGAATCTGTGGAAACAGAAAACAAAGTAACGACACAGGCATGCTTTTTTTTTTTTTACTTCTTTTTTTTTTTTATTGCGCTTTGGCATACTTCACTTCATAGATTTCACAGACACTGTTTATCACAAACTGAAGGTCTGTGGCAACCCTATGGGCACCATTTATCCAAAAGCATTTGCTTACTTTGTGTCTCTGTGTCACATCCAGCAATTCTTGCAACATTTCAAACTTTTCCATCATTATTATGTTTGTTATGGAGATCTGTGATCAGGAGTCTTTGATGTTACTATTATAACTGTCTAGGTGAACACACCCATACAAGAGGAGAACTTAACTTATAAATGTTGTGTATATTCTGATTGTTCCGCTCACATAAATGTTGTGTGTATTCTGACTGCTCCGCTCACCAACTGTTCCCATTTCTCTCCCTCTTCTCAGGCCTCCCTATTCCCCTGAGACATAATAATACCAAAATTCAGCCAACTAATAACCCTACAATGGCCTCTAAGTGTTCAAGTCAAAGGAAGTATTGCATGTTTCTTACTTAAAACCAAAAGTGAAAGTCGCTCAGTTGTGTCCGACTCTTTGCGATCCATGGACTGTACAGTCCATGGAATTCTCTAGGCCAGAATACTGAAGTGGGTAGCCTTTCCCTTCTCCATGGAAACTCCCCAACCCAGGGATCAAACCCAGGTCTCCCGCACTGCAGGCAGATTCTTTACCAGCTGAGCCACAATCAAAAGGTACACATAATTAAGGAAGGCACATCAAAAGCTGGGATAGGGTGAAGCTAGGCCTCTTGCACCAAACAGTTAACCGAGCTGTGTATCCAAAGGTAAAGTTCTTGAAAGGAATGAAAAGCACTACTCCAGTGAATTCACAAATGATAAGAATGCAAAACAACCTTACTG